AGTCTTCAGGGCTTTGAGAGTTTTGGTTAGAGGGAGAAATTGTGGGTCACAAGCTTGATACGTTATCACTTGTGTGAACCTCCCATGTATTCCGAGTGAATTGGTTGAGGTTGTTTCCCTCTGTATTTTGTAGTCTCATATTTATAGTGGATTGCTCATCTCCTTTGTGGATGTAGGTCGATTCACCGAACCACGTTAAATCTTTGTGTCTTTTGGTATATTTCTTGTTGTCTTCTTTCTCGTGGTTTTTCGAGGTTTGCTTTGCTAGCTTCCGCGTTTACACCTGCTTATTTCCAGTCCTAACAGGGATAGTGTAGGTGGGGTAGTTTTGATTTTATTATTATTTTTTGTTGTTAAATAAAATATAAAAATAATATTAACCAAGAAAAAATTAAATAGCTAGATAAAAAATATTTATATTACTAACTTATTATCAAAAATTTGAATAAATTAAAAACAAAATGTACCTTAAAAGTGTAATTCTATTTTGATAGTTTTCATATCTTTTTCAATAAATTTAATAAAATGAAATAAAAGTAAAATATGAAATTTAAATTTTTAAACAAAATATTTAAGCACTAACAATGGTGTAAAACCTTATGTTCGGTCAAAAATTACATGTCTACACACTGCACCAGAATTTAACCCCAGTCATTGGATGCCTAGCGCAATGTGTCACCCTGCACCCGAAGCGTCAAATCCTTTTTCTCTTTCATTCTCGTTCTGCACTTATTCCTTTTCATTCTCTTCTTAATTCTAACTATTTAAACTTTCATTAATCATCGACATATCGTATATATCATGAATCATAACTCTTAACTTCACATTTCAAATTCAAGATTGAGTTAAGAATAGAGTTTGAGAAAATCCTCTCGAGTCATTTTGAGAAGTCTTTTACAATTTTTTAAACTTGCTTAAAGACTTTAGTATTTGAGTACGAGGATGCGGAGAGTTGAGCTCATGATTTCAAAATGAATTTACGGGGACTAAGTATTCCTATGTTTAAATTTTTTTACATTTAAAATGAGAGAAGGCCTTGGTTTCCAAATGAGTTCATGAGGAGTTTTAAAAATCATCTATTTTAAGAGAACCTTTTGAGAAATAAACTCAAAGTTTGAGGATGAGAGAATGTTTTAAAAAATATAAGCATGAGTAATATTATTGGGAGTAGTATTGAGCACCGATATGGGGACGAATTCAGACAACTCAAAGTCCTCATAAACAATATGTGCCAACATGGGTAAAGTATATGAAAGTTCTGGTAGTGTGGTGAGACGTTGTATCATTACATAGCTCATACTGATGATTATCGGTTAGAGAATCTCTCAAATAAGAGTGAAAGATTTTATTATTAATTGAATATTATTGTTGCTTCATATTGAGTTGAGTTGAGACGAGGTTAATATGTTTCTGTTTTATCAGTTCAAGCAGATATTTATGTTTTAGAGTTTCTCCTTATATGCTTTAACATTCAATGTACTGATGTCATTTGGATTGCAGTATTTCATAATGCAGATACAGGTATTTTGGGTCAATAACCAGTGTTTCGTTGATCCCATCGCATTCCAGCTAGTTTGGTCAACCACCCTTGCTTTCCGGAGGGCTTCGCATTTATGGATTTTGTTTTGTTACGATGTTGTGGGTCTTCTCCTGACTTCCATCTTAGTTATTAAAGGCTTCCTAGACAGTAGTATTTTGAGTAGTCTTTTCCATTTCTGTTGTGTTTAAGACTTGAGTTGCCTTCTTTTGGCTAGTTGAATGTTTCCAGACACTTCTGAGTTTACTTTTTTTTAAGACAAAAGAGTAAATGTTTACTTTTGAGTTCATCTATTGTTGAGTAAATCTTCCACTGAGTATTGAGTCAAGCCAAGGATTCTTTCGTGAATTAATAATGATTCTGGAGTGCCAGTTACGTCTAGGTGTTGGGTCGATCGTGACAATTTTTGTTCCCTTCACATAGTTTGATGGTTATTTTTACAATTTTCCCTATATATTGATCCATTCAAAGATTTGATGTGCTTATTACTGTTTTTTAATGTAGATAGAGTAATTCTAAATGGAATAATTATTTTTGCAATAAATGTGAATATCATGGGAAATTATTGTAGCCCGCTCATTATGAAAAAGCTAGAAAGCAAACATTAATTGTGAGAAAATGCAATAACGTGACAGACGACATCCCAAGTGCTACGAGCCAACTATTTTATTTCAAGAGGAACTTGTTGTACCAGTAAGCAGATTTCTTGAAATATCTTTTAAGTCCATTTTTGTAGTCAACAAATGTAATGCCAAATCGGACAGTGAAACCAGCATCCCATTCATAGTCATCTAAGAATGACCATGCAAAATGTCCTTTCACATTTGCACCCGCCCTACATATTCAAGTTGAAATTTGAGTTTATATATGAATATATTAATTAATTAACGGAAAAGGGCTAAAATATCATTAAAGTATTGAAAATGGTATAAAATTATCATTCATCCACCTATTAGCTCCAAAATGTTCTTTCCACCCATCTATTGGGTCCAAAATACCCTTGTCATCCACCTTTTGGTTCAAAATTGACCACTTATTTAATGGTTTTATATTTAAACTATTTAAATATTTTTTAAAATACGTGTCGCTCAACTATTTGTTATAATTTAACTTATTAGTGTAATTTATAAATCAATCCACTAACCACCCATTACTAATTAAATCCCTCTAAATTAATGAACCCGTCACATTATTAATGCAAGCTATTGTCAATTGAGTGTTTTTAAAAAATATAGAAGTAAATTATCATACATTCAAGTGGCTACATAAAAATCACCGATAAACTTAAAAGTCTGACTATGTTCATCTTAATTATTCTTACGTCTCAATTATGTGATTTTACTTCATATGTAATTTTTTTTCAAAATAATATATTAAGGGTTTTAAAATAAATCATAAATATTTATAAATTTATATTTAAAAAAAGTGCATGAATTAATTCGGGATGTATTATTTCTTTACCTTTAATCATAAATTTCTAATTCAATTTTGAAAGAAAGTGTCCTCCTAAATAAGCAGTTCAACCTAAATTTTTAATTGGGGCTTCGATTCGAACTCGAATAATTTTGAATGTCATTTTCAGTAATCTATAATTTCATCGTGTTTTATTAGTGTTTATGACGATTTTGATATTATAATTGAATTGTTAATTGAGTGAGGTTTAGTAAGTAATGAGTGGGTAGTGGATTGATTTATAAATTATATCAATAAATTAAAATTATAATTAATAGTTGAACCCCCAGTATTTAAAAAAATATTTACAGAGTTTAATTTTAAAACAATTAAAAAATGGTCAATTTTGAATCTAAAGGTGGATGACAAGGGTATTTTGGAGCCAATAGGTGGATAAAAAGAGCATTTTGGAGCCAATAGGTGGATGAAGGGTAATTTTGTACCATTTTCAATACTTTAAGCCTATTTTAGGCCCTTGTCCGATTAATTAATGCACAAGTAATTAAGCAACAAAAATATCTTACTTGATGGCTTTTGATAGAAACCATAGGTGTCCCTCGTAATACCTTATCCTCATATCATCTTTAAGGGCTTGTTTAAGTGGCAATGTGCTATTGTTCGCATCAGCCATTCCTGCAAACATGCATAATGACAATTAACTAAAAAGGAAGAATAGCGCGCTAGTTTAAATTAAAGTGGTTTGAATATTATATATAAACTAATAAAATATATAATAACTACCATTTTCTGTTATGTAAATGGGAGGATTCTTATATTTTTGCTTGAGGTAAAGCATGAGGTCATATATTCCTCTTGGATAAATGTATAGCCAACTCAGCGCAGTCTGCATGACAATATAAAATAAAAATTAATTCATTAGTTCATAAATATGTTACGGAAAAATTAAAAGGAAAGGAGAGAATTAGTACCGGTGTACCGATAGGCTTTCCGTCCTTTTGTGCTGAATTATGAAATACAAATTGTTAAGTACATATATGATATTCTCTATTCCTATATTTATCTTTCATATAAAGTTTAATTAGATAATAGAAAGAATTTCAAAATTTATGATCTAGTGTGATTATAAATCATTTAATTCAATTTTAAATGTTCAATATGTTACCCTTAATTAATGAAACGATTTATAGTCACACTGCTACAAAGGTTTAAAAGTTTTTCTTTCTTTCTTTCTTAAATTTCATATGAATTAAAAACAAATTATGACAACAATGAATAAATTGAATTTGATTACTTACTAGTCATATCAATATGACCATCTGTGGTATAGCTAAGGTTAACTCTGGGGACAGATAGCATTGGAGATGCATACTGAGTAGTATAGTAATTCATTCCTAAGAAATCAATGGACCCTTTGACCAACTTTTTCTGCTCTGGTGTGAATTTTGGGAGCCGACCCCCTACGTTAGCGCGCATGCTGGCTGGGTAGTCACCATATGTAATTGGGTCCAAAAACCTGTATATAGAAATGTCATCGATCAACATTTGATAAGTAATAATAAACAAGCTAGGGAGTGCATGCAGCGGAAAAAACTCACCATCCTAAGAAAAAATCAAGTGCTTTTTGAGGGGCACCGAGTCCTAGTGGAGTCTTGATTTTTGGTACGAACCAGTGAGTTACCAAGGTGATTCCTATTTTCCCTTTTTGTGTTTTCTGAAACAAAGAATACAAATGTCAAAATGAAATTACGCGCGTGCATATATATATATATATATATATATATACCTTACCTGATATTTTTGTCTATATAGTTTGACAGCAGTTGCATGGGCAAGAAGCAAGTTGTGAGCTACAATATATGGCTCCGTCGCAGAATCACCCTTTGTACAGTTTCCAACATAACTCGAACATCTTCCTGGTGCAAACGTACCGCTAGCATATCCATTCATGCTATAAGATAATGGCTCATTTAAAGTGATCCAATGCTTTACTCTATCACCAAATTCTTTGAAGCAAACATCCACATACTCACCATAGTCTTTCCTAAACCCATTAACATAATCAAAACATATCTTACCTTACAATTTCAAACCAAATAATACATCTTATCTATACCAAAACAATTAACTAAAATATTTACAAGTGAACCTCATCCATGTAACTCTTCGGAAAATGAAAATAGATGAACTTCATGTTTTCGCCTCTCGTAATCTCACCCTACAAGACAAGTCTATGGTCCATAGGAGTCTCTACGAGTCACACATAACACTCGTAGGAATGAGGTTGAGTTTACGAAAATTTAAGTTTCTTTATTTTGACCTACGAGTGAACATGATAGTTCATCGCACTTTTGGAGTATGGGTATAGTATATGGGTTTAGTAGGAGGATTCTAGACTTGGTGAAGTTTTTTACTTGAACTTGGGTTCTAAAAGTTGGCTCAACGAGTCGTAGAATTTTTTATAGGCCGTAGGGAGGTCTTGCTGGAAGTTTGAGCAAATTTTAGGTTTTTGTAGTCGAGTCTATGGTTGACTAATACGGGTTGTAGGTTACTCTACGGAGCGTAGATCAGAACCGTAGGTCACATCCGACAGTTTTAATGAAGGGTGGTTTGGTCTTTTTCCTCCCAAATAACCCCTATACTGTGTCGCTTAATTTAGACCTATAACTGATTTTCCCAACCCTAATTTTACCCAAACTCTCTTATTCTCTCAAATCCCCAATTTTCATTCACATTCATCCTCTCCATATTCTCTCAAGTCTCCAGGAAGAAAACTAGGGTTCTCTTTTTTTCTACATTGCTTTTTGACATAGATCCTCAAGGTATGTGGAAATTCACCAATGGATTTCATTAATCTATTGGATCCTAATGATTCTCAATTCTCCAATTCAATTTCATTAAGTTAATTAAGGTTTGATCTCAATTCTCCATGGGTCCTATATCTTATGATTCAATTGTTTGATTTCTATCTTATTATGCATGATTTGATTCAATTAAGTACTTTTCAATTGATTTCATATGCACTCATGCATTATGCATAATTTTATTTTGAATTTATGAAGTAAGCTATGGAATTGTGAATGATGATTTATGAAAGTTTATGCATGATTAATAAAAAGATGTTCTATGATCTAATGTTGTTTCTAAGATTTGTATCAATGAAATTGTGAAAGGTTTTCTCATATTAAGAAATCATGATTGGTCATGTATGCAGATTCATGATTTAAGGAGCTACTCTACAATGATTTAAGTTTGAAATAGTAACATAATTATGATTTTCCATTTATGATAATATGTCTATGCATATGACTATTCTGTTGAGATATTTACATAGCATCGAGAGGATATTGAGATGGAAACTCTCCAGTTAATAAAGGTTGGTTCTCTAGTAGTAGTCTTGTTGTCCCTAACTACATGACCCCGTAGGATTGTCATAGAAAACATAGTTAGTACCCACGTATGCTAGAAGTTCATGCTTCTTACCTTGGCAAGTAAGACATTTCTTTTTGGTGTGGGAGTAAGACACCAAATTTCATGTTATATCCAACACGGTCTATTTAGGTTGACAATAATTATCCCACAAAATGATCTATGTTCTCCTAAAGGTTTTTTTAAGCTTTCATGATGATTTAAGATACAATGACATGTTCGTGATATATGATTCTTCTATAAAGGTTTTACTATATTTAGCTTGGTCTTGCATATCATGTTTCTATTATGTCTCTTGTGATCATGGTTTATGTTTTTATGGATATCCCTCATACTTAATAAATTACATGTTCTAAGGCATACTTGTGTCTATATTATTTCATAATGTACAGTTTACCACTTCCTCTCCTCCCGCTCGTGGCTAGATACAGATCGCTATCTATTTCTTGGATTGATGAGTCCTGATACTCCGAGGGCAAGACCATGAAGACTTTACTTTTGAGACTTTGTACGTAGTATGTGAGTTACGTTCCAATCACTCTTGATGTTTTAGATTGGCTTTCCAAGACTTAATATATTTCTGCACTTAAGTTATGTTCATAATATGAGACTTCTGTTCCTTTTCTACTTGGCTCTATTATGTTGTGTTGTATGTATGTCAAGTGACTTGTGTAGGACATTTTGGGGTCTTATAGGACATGTCACATCTATGGTGTACTTTTAATCATGATAATACATGAGACATAATATATATAATTTAGTAATTAAGTCATGTGTGGCCCCTTAAAGTTGTTCGTATAATTCATTTAGACACTTTAACAAACATTGTTTTCTATTAGACACTCTAACCTTAACAAATAAATACCTATTGAACATTTTTGTGACATTCAATCAAAAGAGAAAGTGCGTGTAATACACATGCACATGATGTGACAAAATAGCAAATCAAATAAAAACATGTGGCATTTTAATTTAAAATAATTATCAAAATAAATTTTAAATATTAATAAGTCAAAATCTTTAAGAAAAGACTTTAAATTTTTCTTTAAAAAAAATAAAAAAAAAAGAAAGAAATTATACAACCCCCCTTCACCCACCCCGCACTCCACCCCATACAAATCTTTCCCTTTCTTTTCTTTCTATAACAGCTCCACCTTCCACCATTGTTAATTCTCCATTTAGAACAAATAGATATTTAACATATATTAGGTATAAACTTATCATTTTAATATCTTTTATGTCTTCTTGCTCATTTTCATTTGAATTGATGGTGTTTTCTTAAAAGATTCTCATTCTTCCTTTGTTTATTTTGATATTTTCAAATTTGTATTTTTTTTTTGTTTTTATGTTTCTACTTAGATTTGGGAGGAAGAAGGGGCGTAGATCAAGGTGGTTTGTGGCGGGAGAGGTGAAGAGGGAGAGAGAAGATATTTTATTAATGATCTTCATTTTTTCCGGCAAAGAAGCTGTAGATGATTTCCATTTTTTTTTATAAATAAGGCATCTTCATTTTTTTGATAAAAGATTGTGAATGACAATCTCCATTCGGAAGTTGACAATTATTAGAATATTAAAAAAAGAAAAAGAAAACATGAAATTTGTAAAAGTAAATATAAAATAAAAAATGACCATGGATTTGTAAAGCAAAGTGGTCTCAGATGGTGAAAGAGAAGAAGATAAAAAAAATGTTATTGTTAAAAAAATAATGAGAAAATTAAAGGGAAAGATTAAAAAGGAAAAGGAAAAATATTAAAATATGAACTTCACGCGTTCACCAAGATGTGAATTACACTTTCTGTGCCACTTCAGCAAAAGTGTCTAAATAAATCAAATTCGAGTTAGTAGAGGTGTTTAATCAGTATTAGGCCTAGTTGAGGTATCTAAGTGAATTATGTGGACAACTTTAAGGGGCTGTAGATGACTTAGGCCAAAGAAAATATGATATCTATGGTGGTCAAACATACATGAAATTTTTATTTCTAATTCAATACTTAAACCATCTTACGCTATTTTTGAACTCATAAAGCCTCCATATTCGTCCTCAATGCCTTGTGGTGTGTCCCAGTGGAAAAGCGTCACAAATGGTGTCAAACCTTTTAAAAGAAATTTAAAGAAAGGTTAGGAACCTTAATTATGATGGTTTCTCAAAGGGTTATTTTAACTAGAATGAGAAAAGTTACTTGTACCTTTTGAAATAAGCTCATTGATGACATTGTTGTAGAATTTGATGCCTTCTGGATTCACCCCTTTGCTTACCTTTCCATCTAAAGCAAAGTCGTTTCAGTTCAGTAATAATAGAATATTACTGGTCTAGTTTAACTTTGCATGGAAATTTTTTAATTTTGTAATTTTACATTAAAGTTATGTCAATGTATTAAAATGTTATTAAATCATATGGTCTTAATTAAACATGTCATGTTTAAAATTGAAGTTAAAGTGTTATAAAAAAAGGTCATTCTATTTTAAACAGAAAACAAAATTAGATCATTCTTTTTAATTGAAGGGAGCAACTATTACTGTGTCCTTTTTTTAATTTTTTGAATTATACCGAAAATAACCTTGTGATACGAACTGATTAATTGAAGGTACGTATATTCCTTTATACTTCAAAATCAAGCACTCACACCCTCTATTTTATGAAAATTGTACACAAATATAATAATGTTACTCTATTTGTTAAAAAATAAAATATTAAACTCTTTATATAATGATAACTTCACGGAACGAAGATATATTTAACTAACTAAATTGAAGATTATTTGAAGTGAAAATATAACTGAACAAACTAATGTTAGGATCAAATTCACGCACACACACTAGATAAATGAAGAACACAAGAACTTTCAAGAGAAAGAGATGAGAGATCTAGAGAGAGAAAGAGAAAACCCAATATTTCGTGGTAACACCCCGTGAGTAAACTTCCACGGCGGTGAGGTATATTTATATTAATAAATCAGAGTATTATTTGTTACAGAAAATAAATAGGAAAGCCTAAAATAGAGAATAAATAGGAAAGCCTAAAATAGAGAATAAATAGGAAAGCCTAAAATTAATCAGGCTCCACTACCTAACATGAACATAAGCAGTGCAACCAAAAGTCCTCAAGTGTGAGTACTTGAGTTCTTTTCCTGTCCACACCTCCTATGGAATCTTGAACCGTAAAGGAACTGATGGTCCTCTGTTGATCAAGTATGCAGCTGTGCTCACAGCATCCGCCCTAAGTGTTTTGGGCAGCCCACATTGTATCTTCATACTCCTTGCACGCTCATTCAATGTTTTGTTCATCATCTCAGCAATTCCATTCTGCCTTGCCTTACTAGGAACTGTTCTCATCAATTTGATTCCCTCAGCTGCAAAGAATGCCTTTAACTCTGATTTATCATACTCTCCTCCATTGGCAGACCTTAGGCATTTGACTTTCAAACCGGTCTGATTCTCAACTTCAGCTTTCCACTTTTTGAAAGTTGCAAACACATCTGACTTATGCTTCAACAAGTAAACCCATACTTTCCTGCTGAAATCATCAATGAAGGTAACATAGAATCTGGATCCTCCAAGTGATGATACTGGAGATGGTCCCCAAACATATGTATGGACCATTTTCAACAATACTTTCTTTGGCTCTCTAGGAGTCTTTGTGAAGCTTACTCTTTTTTGTTTGCCCATAACACAGCTCTCGCAAAGACCCATATCAACAAACTTTAGACCCTCTAATGCTCCTTTTGCAACCAGCATCTTCATTCTTTTAGTACTCATGTGTCCAAGTCTGTTGTGCCATAGACATGAACCGGAAGCACCTTCAGCAACAGCGGCCATGTTTATACACCCTGCAGTGCTGTACAAGGTTCCAGATTTGGTGCCACGAGCTACTACCATAGCACCTTTCACGATCTTCCACGAACCTTTCCCAAACATTGCTGCATATCCCGTGCTATCCAACTGACCAACAGAGATCAGATTTTTCTTGATCCCAGGAATATATATGACATCCTCCAATGTCCACTGGTTTCTTGAGATGGTCTTTATGCAAACATCCCCCTTTCCTTCAATCTCTAAGGCTTTATTGTCAGCAAGATATACTTTTCCAAAATTTCCAGATTTGAAGTTTTGGAACAACTCCTTACTTGGAGATGAATGGAAAGATGCACCAGAATTCAAAATCCATGATTCAACCGGGCTGTTCACACTAAGGATTAGAGCATCCCCAATGTCCTCTGCTGATTTTACAGAATCATTGTCATCTCCAAATTTCTGATTCTGTTTCTTCTTTTGCTTTGTACAGTTCGTCCGAAAGTGCATTTTTTCTCCACAGTTCAAACAAGTCACGTTTGATCTTTTCAGGGATTTCCCTCGATTCTTTGATTTTGATCGACCATGTTGATTTTGTCCTTTCGTCTTACTTCTCCCCCTTCAGTCAACGCTGAGAGCACTGCCCGATGAATCTCCCACTTCTCGTTTGTGAATACTTTCGCTAAGAACAACATCACCGATTTCATCAAACATCAGTTTCTCAGATCCACGGGAACTGCTAATCGCAACAACAGTAATATCCCAAGACTCGGGCAGAGAGTACATAAAAATCAACGCCTTAATTTCATCCTCGAAATTAATATCCACAGAATTGAGTTGATTCACAATCATATTGAACTCGTTTATGTGATAAAAAACGGATCCATTCACAGACAACTGTAAATTGAACAATATACGAATCAAATATACTTTGTTCTTCGCCGATGGTTTTTCATACATGTTTGACAGTGCCTTCAACAGATCGGACGTAGTCTTCTCCTTCACGATGTTGAATGCCACGCTTCTTGACAAAGTCAACCGGATCAACCCTAGAGCCTGACCATCTTTGAGTTTCCACTTCTGCTCCGTCATTGATTCCGGCTTCACCTCGGTCAACGGTTCGTGAAGATCTTTCTGGTACAGATAATCTTCAATCTGCATCTTCCAGAAACTGAAATCGGATCCATCTAACTTCTCGATTTCAAGCTTCGAACTATCCATCTTCTGTGATCGTGTTGAATCTCCTTAGTTATGATACCAGTTGTTAGGATCGAATTCACGCACACACACTAGATGAATGAAGAACACAAGAACTATCAAGAGAAAGAGATGAGAGATGAGAGATCCAGAGAGAGAAAGAGAAAACTCAATAATTCGTGGTAATACCCCGTGAGTAAACTTCCACGGCGGTGAGGTATATTTATATTAATAAATCAGAGTATTTTTGGTTATAGAGAAAAAATAGGAAAGCCTAAAATAGAGAATAAATAGGAAAGCCTAAAATAGAAAATAAATAGGAAAACCTAAAATTAATCAGGCTCCACTACCTAACAACTAAAATAAAGATGAGAAAAATCCTATGTTATCAAATATTATAATTAATTTAAGAAAATGCAAATATTGTACATGTTAAGGTGCAAGAAAGTCATAGTAATTATTACTAATTGTATTACATTTCTTATTAGGATTTTTCAAAGATTTATCATTAATGTGTAGAACATCTATATATTGAAGAGAAGTATACTTACATGGTAAAATTCGAGACCATGAGATAGAAAACCTGAATGCCTGCATGCCAACTTCCTTAAGCAGACCTATGTCGCTCTGCAATGCAACATTTATTTTGACGTTAATTGTTTTATAATCCTATATTAAATAATTTTTAAACTCTTTTTTTTTGTATCGATCATCTTTTTATATAATTTATTCTTGTCGTGTATAATTTTATTGATTAATGCGAGACACACATATAATCATATTGAGTTCTTTATAAAGATAAAAGAGAACTAGTTTTGGTGTGGACATGATTGGGATGTTGTGTAATGTTTAGAATTACATAAGGCTTAAGTCATATGTAGTCCCTTTAAGTTGTTCGTATGATTTAGTTAGACATCTGAATTAAGATTAGTATCTATTAGACACTTTTATCTATCCAAAACTTATTTCTATTAGATTTTTTTCGATAATCAGTAAAAAAAAAGGTAAAGTGTGTGTGATACAACGATATGATGTAAAAGAATTAACTAATTAAATGATGACATGTGTCACTTGACCCCAATAACTATAAAAAAAATATTAAAAAGAATGAAAATTATTTCAAATAAATCTTGTATCTATTTCTTAATAAAAATAAATGAAATGACAACCAATTTTACTCAACCCCACCCTACCCAATCCCCCTTCATTTTCATTTTCTTCTCATCTATTTTTTTTCTCAAACGACAAAAACCTTCACTGCAAATTACTTGTTGACTTGATATGTTTGAAAAAAATATTTTGTATTTTTAATATGTGAGTTAAAAAGATATCTAAAAAGATTGATACAATAGTGATGAAGAATACTCATCCGAAAATCGATTGCAAAGTAAAATTAAAAGGACCCAAATTAATTTCATGGAAAATTATTTTTCATTCCTTGTACATGATAGAGAAAGATATTTTAAAAGTTGGTATAAGAGTGATGAATAAAGGAAGTTTGTCAATGGTTAATCATCTTAAAATCAATTTTAAGGAG